TTATAAGCATATGTATTATGTATATTGTATAGCTTGCAGTAGCTATTTGTATAATGTAACGCGGAACACTTTTATTATATAAACACGAATCTCCAACGTTGCAGAAGGTATACTCAACCTATTCAAATGTTTATTTCATTCAACCAGCTGAAGAATTTTTGGACAAAACGCAATCGTTAACGATTGTTTATGTAATTTATTAAACTTGGATATGTACTATGTTATATATATCTACCATCGTGATATACTATGATATATATATTTTACAATGTATGAGTATGACCAAGGCCCACCTACACCTACCAACGATGAACGACTGGATTAGCAAAAATGATTTCTCTGCACCTAATAACGTAGACCGCCAGAACCGACTTCGTGAAGTTAATACTTAATAATAATTCTTATTGAATTTTAATGAAGACGATCAATGAATGGAACAATCGCTCGTACAATCGGGCACATCGTTTCGGTGTACCTATCGTAGGTATATGTAGGACATATTATTATTTATTATAGTAGGTACTATAGGTACAGTTAAGTTGACAACATCGGCAGTTGACAATAAACCACGCAGGATGATCGACCTGCACAGTTTATTATGGATGGTCTTCAAATATTTTGGGTTATTACTACAGATCATAATACTATAATTAAAATAGCATAATAATTTTAATATAGTTATTCAATTTCCAACACATCTGTGATCTTTATGTCTATTTGAAAAAAAATGTGATTTTATGAAAAAGACATTCTTTTTGTTCACCATTTAAATGAGGCGAAGGTGCGAGACTCAAGATATTTAAAGTGCCTAATTTATGGAAAACGTTAGAGAGTGAACCTGTAAAGGTAAGTAATATACACTTTGTTATGAGTATTTATTTCCTTAAACCAGCGGTTCTCAAACTGTGTTCCGCGGAGCCCTTGGGCTCCGCGAGAGTAATCTAGGGGCTCCGTAGCTCCCATATGTTATCTGTATAAATTAAATTCAAATTATTAAATTATTATTTTATTTCTTAGTTACATTTTTAATTTTTATACTTGTATACATTATTATTTGAACCGTACCAATATGTATTATTTTAAAGTGTAAAACTGTAAACTATTTATAAATACACATTTTTTTATAATCAACATCATTTTCTATGAATTATTGTTGTCTCAAATAGACATTTCTGAATTTTGGGGACTCCGTAATTTTTTTTAGGAACATAAGGGCTCCGCGAACAAAAAAGTATGAGAACCGCTGCCTTAAACCATTAAATTATATATTAATTTACTTACATTATCAAAGATTATTAAGGAATAATATAATAGAGTATTTAACAATACGCAATATACTTAGGTATAGTTAGTAACCTACATAAAAATAAATTATTCCGTTTTTGCAAAAATATAATATATAATACCAGCAATATATATACCTACTTAAGTACTGAATATTTATTATGTTACTGAATTTTTGTAAACACTGTTTGGAAATTTGACATAGTTGACAATTAGAAGGTTCATTACAATTTTTAGCAATGTAAAGAAACTGTTCTATAATTTTCTTTTACATTTCCATGAGAAATGTTGAATCTGAATTCTGCATAATAATTATAGGAAAAAATTTAAAAACATGAAAAGTCCATATTTATTATTTACCGAAGATTATGGTTTAACTAATAAATTCGTATTGTATGAATACATATTTTAATTTGGATAAATTAAATGTTAATTTACTAACACCCTTACCAATAAAAAAATTGTCAATGCTCAAACAGCCACCAATTTATAATTGGTATTAAGTATAATTGGCACCAATATTATAATGTACCTAGATAAGTGATAACTGAATATATGTGAATTTATTGTACCCATGTAAATAATAATTAGTAATCACAGTATGAAATAGACAAATCATATTTTAACAGATAGATAAACGGATTGATATAAAAATTTTTTTTTGAAATATTCGCATTACATATACACCTAAAACCTAATATTTAATATTTATACAACTATTTTTTATTTTATCATCACAGCTATAGTCCATAATATAGAATAAAATAAATTTCAATAATAGGTAGGTATATAAAATAGGTTATACATAGTATTTTAAATAAGTTCAACGTATTTTCTTTAAATTAATAATAATATTACAATTTATAAACGATGTTAACTGGTAGACACATACTATTATGTAATATATTATTATTATTTACGTACCTACAGGTAATAAGCTCTCGCATGTGTTGTATTTGCAGTAACTCTGTATCTAAATCGTATAGAAGCCTAGCCAATGTGGATTATTTTTACTATTGGCACACTTATTTCTGCCATTGTGCTACACATTGCCCGGGAATTTGACATAATGTCCAACCATCCATTTTTCTTGTGATAATGTTGCATATATATATATATATATATAATGTATACCTACACTAATAGTTAATTATTAATTTATTATGATAATATAATTGATAAATATAGTTCAATAAGTTTGATGAAAAACACATCATATTATCATATTTTAACATAAAAATTTAAATAAGTATTTAACCATAGTTTGAGTAGTATTTAACTCCGAAAATTCAGTGTACCTACAACAAAATATTTATCAAAACCAATTGAAAGATTAATCAAAGTTTTTGTGACACATAAATATTATCTATTAATGTTGTTTTGAACAGTATTATAAGTACAAAAATAAATACTTACAAAATAGTATGTCATTATAAATGGGTTGGTAATAATAACTAATACATTAAATAATTACTTATAAGTTATAATATTTTATAGTTTTTACAATAATTTAATATGCCTCATGTCATCATATAGGCATATCAGTCATGTCGATGAGAGAGTAATAGATATAACTTAGTAGGTAGTTTCATTATTCGTCGAAATTAAAATCGGTTTGCCTAAACTTTATCATGTAGTTCAACTAATTATGTCGCAACTCAATAATTTGTATTTTAAGTACCTATTTACTTATAGATGAGATAATTCAGTTTCTTAAAACAGTTTTACTAAGTTATTAATTTTTTTTTTTATTGATAGTAAAAAATTATTTTAACTTAACTACTAAATTGAAATCAATTTATTACACGTACAGTGATATGTTTAAATACATCTAAGGACAAAACAAAATGAACAGTAATTTTTACGTAATAAGCAATTCTCCAATCTTGTTATGGTTTTTTTTTTATGTTCGAACGTACAAATAATATAACATGTTATCCTCAAACGATGTTTGCTGTAAATGAAATTATTCAAAAACATATTAATCGTAGAAATTCGCAACTTTTCTATAATTTTTTTTCAGTACACGGTAATATTTTAAATATGTTTAGTTTAATTTTAACCTATTTTGACCTTGAAGATATTATTATTTCATACCTTCCTCAGTGCGTCGGTACGTCGCGGTCAGTATTGACTTAAAAGTAATCTATCAAATCACGAAAATACGAATAATAATAGTATTAATATAATAGAACATAAACTTATACTATCTTTAGAAATGGATGATGATTTACCATTGGATTAAAATTTAACACACCAATTGCAGCGACCTACTCGATGACGAGGTATAAACTCGATAGGTAGGTAGAGGTATATACAGCTGCAGAGCGAGTTGCCAGGTTCTAAACATACATACATACGTTATGGTAGGTTGTCTTTCACGTATGCGTAGACGACTTCTACAAGCTACGAAATATTATTATATATATGTATAAAGAATATAAAAAGTGAAATTAATTTCACTCTTTCGTATTAACAATCGAACATACAAATATTAGGTATTATCATTCGTCTCGGAATGAATAGCAATTTTGATTAATAGAAATCAAAATCATTTGAATGGGGACACGCGCCTGTCTAAAATAATCCCGAAACCCTGGTGACTTGACAAAATATTATGCCTATCGACATTGTTCGGCTTGAGAATATTAATCATATTCACGCGGTATTCGTAATACAATATAATAAAGGCACTGTATGTACTAGATAAACACGAGTTTATTTCATGTTTTAAAGCTTGTTGAAAAAAATGATGTCTATCGATACAACACACATACCTCGTCGTGTTTTCGGGTACGTCGCACCGGCGGCGAGGCGAGTGTGTTACATAGTTTGTACATTCAATAATAATTTTAAAGCAAAGTTTATCGCATTCGGAAAAAGATTATTACGACCCCTCTCGATGTCTTGACTCTTGTGTGCCATAATATTATAATATAATTTATAATATTATATAATAGCTTTGTTACACACACCAATCTTTTTAATGTATACCTACGTCATAGGTACTACTTGCAGATCGAATTACTATAAGGTGGCCGTTACTCGTTATCGTCGTCGTCATCGTCGTCGTCGGGTCGTTGGGTCCTAGAAATGTATATATATATATGTATAGTAATCACCCGTTATAACACATAATTATTATTGTTATTACGTACAGTTTTACGGAGCGTGAAAATTAAACTTTAACCCGTCTCGATGTTCGAAGGTCGTGTTCCGTCGTATAACACTGCCCTGCGCTTGATATCGTTTATTATGGAACGGCAATGTTATACAAGATAAAAATAAATATAATAAATCTCGATGCGATTACAACGACAAAGAATAGTTCGAGAACGCCAATTATTGTTTTGCGTGACAGCAGCCAGAGGAGGCGGATTGGTACCGGATAAGTGGTTAGGGGTTGAACAGTGAGCTGTCGGCTGTTACAGCATATACATGATTGCGACTGTATGGCGGGGCAGAGACAGAGAGCGAGTTAGTTCGCTCTAATTCGAAAAACTTAAATTAAACGAGTGGAAATAGTTTTTACCAAGATCTATAATTATACATCATACCGTGCGACGTAGGTACTACACCACCACCACTACCACTACCGCGGTCACCTCCACTAAACATCTGCCGCCGCCGCCGCCACCGCCACCACCAGTCACCGCCCAGAGTCGAGTTGTAGGAAAGTCGAAAAAGCGGCGCCCTCCTCAGTGCACGTTGCGATGCTAGCGAGTGTGACGGTCTCCACGTCTAGTCGTCATCGTCAAAGCAGTACGCGAGCCGCATCCCGTCCTGTGGTGTTATTCCAATGAATTTTTTTCTTATTAATACGCCCACATGGTAAACATTTTATTATTAGGTTCCTATATTATTGGATATATCGCGTCCTATCCCACTATGCTATAATATTATATATTCGAAGATAATAAACAAAATATAGTAAATAATCGTGTAATAATAAAATAACATAATATTATATTATAATCATGTCTCTTTAAGCCGAGAGTACCGTTCAAAGTTTCGTTAGGTATTGTTTTTTTCCTGGTCCATTTAATCATAATATCATCGTAAGTCGGATGCACGATGGACAACGTCGACGACTATTATAACATGGATTACCCGTACGACGATTACAATAAAAGTGAGTTCAACCACATAATATCAATTATCTTGTTGTTATTAGGTATTATTTATTATTATATTATATGATAACTGTCTTATCTTTACCATTAAAATAAATGGGTGTTGAATATTGTGGGTACTGAGTTGTGACCGGCCATCGCAGTGCTTTGCGCCTTTGCTATCGTAGGTTCGCATATGGTATATTAATACAAATGTGTGAAATTTTTACCCAAAACCTTTGAAATTATGAAATGTATCATTGAAACCAACTACCTGTGCGAGTATATTTTACCGAGTATCAAATAATATACAAAGTTATAAATAGAGCTCAGAACAACGGTAATGTCCATCTGATGATAGTAATTATATTGATGAATATATAATCATGTGGTAAAGGTAGTTGACGATAATTATTTGAAATGCAAGCAATTTCTTTATCGTTAGGTAGGTACATAATAATATGTGGCACAGTGTCACAGTGACCATATTCATTATTTATTTTCTTAAACCTGCATTACCCAATATTTTCATATTACCTAATACTTATTATTTTAAATTTACCATTTAAATTTTTCTCAAATGAAACAAGCATACTGGGTTTATAATAAATTATTAATTATTATAGATGATTTTAACGAAAAATCTAAAATTAATGTTATTTTTTAAATGTTGTCACATTATTTTTTTAAAATTTATTTTAGAAAAATAATTTAAAGAAAATGGTATTAAAAATAATTATGTCTGTTTTCGTGTGAAGGACAGCTGCACCTCTATTGTCTCAATGCCTCCCCACACCAAGATGCTGTTTATGGTACCTACCCCTATAATGCACGAGTAGCTAAGCCTGTACAATATAAATACGCTAAAAAGTCGTTTATCCATTATATTTCCTACCTAAGTAAATTATTTTTCTCTGTATTGTGATACACTAAAATGTATTTAATGTATTTTAAATCTTTTAGAATATTCGCTTAGATTGCACACAAATACATGTTCGTTTGTATCGTTCCATATCGTATTTTGAAATGTGCTGTACTGCGTAAGCCATCATGCAGGAAAATGTTATTAAATATAACAAATTCAGTTACTGTTCAATTTACTACGCTTTTGTAGTGTCAAATAAAATTTATACATTAAAATGAACCATTAACTCACCTTCGTTTTCCGAAAACTTAGGAAATGGAAAATGAAATTTGCAAACCTATTACTGGAAATTTGAAAAGTAGCTTATACGACTATCTTTATCCCGGGACTAATGCTGGTTTAAAAATAATTAAGTTCACTAAGCTCGGGTCAAATTGCACAACAATTTAATTCCACTGACATAGCAATTGGAAATATAATATATGTAGGTACGTACTTTTTCCTTGGTTTTTATAAATCAAAAGATTCAATATTTTATTTTTACATTTTATAAGAAAATTCAAATTCTTTGAAATAAAAATGAAGTTTTATGTTTCGAACTAGAGTTTTATAGTATCTACTTCAAATAATCAATACGATTGCATTCATTTCGTTTGTTCCATCTGTACTGTACTTATCATATAATGTATATTTTATAAATACTCAATAGATACTATTAAAGTCAACTCAAGCATGAAATTTCATATAATTTCAATAATTTGTAGATTTCATATTAATGTGTAATACAATGGGTACCTATGTTATCATTTTAGACCTTCGTATGTATCGTTATAAATTCACTCGTAAATGAATAGTTCTTAAATCCTCAATCCCCTAGGCGTTTCCTTCTGATTAGAAAATAATTAATTGTGCAATTTTCAAAAAATAAATTGGTATAAATATTTTTTAAATAATACACAAAAAGTAATTTTACTTCTGATGGCTTGAATAATTACTTGTAATATTAAAAATAGGTTTTTATGTTGGATAGTATTTAATTTTTAATCAAATTACCTAATTTAAGGAGTTGCCCGCATTTAACAATATATATCTAACTACTTGTTTTAATGTTTTATATTACAACGAAGTACCTATAGATTGTTATTAGGTTGGTACATAATTATTCACTATTAAAAGTGGTATGAACAACTATTATTTCTATGGCTGTAAATTTATTATTTCAGTTTATGCGATCTATGGGTTATACATAAAATTATAATATGTGTATGTAAAATAGTATGAAACGTGAACAATTAAAATAAGTTCAATAAAAGTCACTTAGTAATAGATAATAAGACCAGTTTTTTTGATTAGACGCTTGCTTTACTTATTTATGAATATCTAATTCAAAATTAATTGATCAATTTTATATTTTAAATTTATTTTCTAAATCATATTATTACTATAAGTAGGCACCTAATACTTACTTACACTTAAGTAGTTACATCTAGGTATATCCAAGTTGAGAATTAGGATGTTGTAGGTCATAATAATAATAAAGTTACTTAATTGATAATTCATTACATTTATATTATCCTATTTCATCGTACAAACGTCAACTTATGATAAACATTTAATTATAATAATCTGCTTAATGAATAAAGATAATTAAGTGATATTTGCACTTGAAACGTATAGGTATATATACTATATATTTATGCTACATGCACATTATTATACCGGAATATTATTTTAACAGTGAACAATCATTTTCTAAAAAAGTCTTAAACGTTTTTGTAAATATATTTTTTATATAACTCCCTATTTGGTATTTCTATCGTTATTAAGTTTTTTCTTTTTTAAAAGCATACATTTTTATAATTTCAAGTTCCGAATAATTATCATTGTATGAATAATCTACCTACTTAGATATCAAATTAACTAGCTGGGAATTTCTATCTTATATAGAAATTAAATTTCAAACTTGTAGTTAGATAGTAGGTACTATGTAGTTGATTAGTTATGATCTGGGCTAGGATTTCTAAGCATTAGCATATTTTTTCTTGAGTCCAAATTAACTAATTGTCGGATATGTCCACGATTTGGATTCGAACAATATTTTTGAGCATATTTTGCATATTTTGAACATAATACACGTAATTGCATAATTTAAGTTTTTTTAATCTTATAAATTTGAAATGGTATTTATTTAATAAACGTCTATATATGTATTGTGTTATTTGTTGAATTGTCCTAAATTTACTTTATAATATTTTCTTAGCCAAACTACCTATATGGTTACCCATACATTATTTTTGTTTTTCATTAGTATGACAAGCTTTAATCTATATTCATAAATACCTATTTATTATATTTTATAATAATTATAATTAGTAGTTTCTGATTTTTATATAAAAATATTAAATATTATATAGAAAAAAAAGATTTTTCTTACATATTTTTGTAAATTTTGGTAAATAAAATGCATATTTTACAATTTTTTGTTGCATCAAACCATACCACAATTTATGACTTATAACTTATAAGTATATGTAAGTTTATGTGAGCTGAGTAATGAGTAAAGGACCAACATTTTGCTTGGCAGGTGTTCTTAGCTGTGCTCTTCTAAACTTCATATACTTATATAAGCTTATGTCTAGGATTCGGAACTTAATGCATTTATACGTTTTAACATATGCGTGATGGTTGTATAATATGCTGGTTGAAATATAAATTTGTCTTGTGAAATTAAAATAATTGAATACAAAGTTTGCTTTGCATAGTTTTGCATATTTTGTTTACAAAAAAGGTATATTCGACAAATTGTTGAATTGTTGACAATAATTATTATTAATATCAAATTTGATATTATCTAATGGATGTTTTCATATTATACAAATCGTTTTTACCGTTTTTCCTAGTTTACCTTTTCTATAATTTTAGTTGAATATTTTAGATATTTTTTGGTAGTTATAATATGCAATTTGCAACTAAACTTTGAACAATTTTAGTGTAATATTATATTCAGAACCCAACTTATAAATAATTAACTACTTGTTCAAAATTTGAATTTTTTGATATTGACAAATAAAAAAAGAATATTTTAATGTGGAATATGAAGTTTTAACAAAAATGCTATCTTTCAAGAAACTTAGAAGCTTTCAAATTATATAATAGTAAAAATAGCTTAATGCAAGTAAATGTTTTTTCCAAATATTTTATATTGTAATGACTTCGAGTTATATAAAACAAAAAAAGGTGAATAAATTCGAGATGATGTGTTTCTACTATTCACTGTTGAAAGAATCACCTTGTAGGTATATGATACACATCAATATCGTAGGTATATAATATATACGTACCTATAGCTAATGTGCTTACTCACGTCATAGCATTTTAAGCTAATTATCAAATTACACGTAGTGGCTGGCCCTGGTATATAGACCATATTATTATGTACGTATAGTATAATATGATGTTCACCTATTACTGATTTGTACCTCACTGTCCTCACTAATGTTTCATAACATATTATATTATATTAATATAAACTCATATAATATAGTTTATAGATTAGGTATTAGGTACCTAGACGTCGCGTAGTTCAAACTTTTTCGTTACACCCAGAATAAGGTTATATACATATTATGACGATTGACGATACATGACGTAATTTAAAACGGTTATTTGTTTATTATAAACGTATGGATAATATGAGTATCTAGGTAAATATTGATATTCTCAAATTATAGATTCATTAAAATGCATTGTTTATTTGTCCACCACCCACGGGGTCCCTGATTCCTGGAGTCACAGCTCTGCGCATAAATGCATACTAATAAATACTAAGAAAAATAATTACATGTATAGTATTAAATTAAAACGAGACATTGATGTTTCAAAATTGATCGAATTATCGAGATGGTGATTGTATTCACCTAAAAGGTTATAAGTTATAACTTAAGCAATAAAGGTGTATACGTCGGGGAAAATACAATATATTTCATGAAGTATAACTCGAGAATGGCAAAGTCTACACCTGATCTCGAATATTATGCACACGTTAATAATAAACAATTTCTATAAATTGATTTTAGATGGGCTCTTAGGCTTGTTTAAACCTATAATACTAATGTTATATATTGTGTTCATACAGTTACCTTAATGCAATATAGA